AGTGTGTCTGTGACTGTCGTGCGCACAATGATGGTGCCATGGTCAGTTTGCTGTGATGTTTGGTACCGTGCATGCATGCGCCATCGTTTTTGTGTCACATGCTGATATTCCCTTAGATTGTAAGTGCATAGCATGTACATGGCAGATGTAAAACATACAGGGATCAACACATACGATCTATATTTTGATCAACATATCAGATAACAAATCGAACATATTTAATACCTAACTTTCAAGAGCTCGCTGATATACAATATCTGCCCTTTAACAGCCAATATATTAAGTTTTTGCTCTATTCTGTTGATGATAGATCGAATAACATAGCCAGATGGTCCTAGGTACTAGAACCCGGCTAGTTTGCGTAAGTTTATAACCACCGGCGATCGGATTTGTTGCGAGCCTATTTGATCACAATATCAGAACAAGATCGAACTATCTCTAGGTTCTAAGAACGTGGCTGAGCACCCAAGTTGGGGCATTATACAATTAGGTTGACCAGGCCTTGTTACTTATGTCAGGGATAGCGATGGTGGAGCACCACATGTGCGCCGGCCCGTCAAATTGCTTAAATAGAAAATCCTAACTTCATCGCAGAGACCAGTTGTTGGATAAGACGTAATGAAATCGCATCTAAGAGGACTTCGTGTAGAGGTCATTGTCCAAGCAAAGACATTAAAATATTAAAAAGAGATCTGCCCCATCAAGAAAATTTCTCTCGGTGGAAGAATGTCAAGGTGTGGCTTCAAATGAATTTCTAACTTTAGGCGAGCTATTGTCAGCAGTAATGCCTAAGTGCTGTAGTAAATGGCGCGCGTTTAGAATAAAGATATATCATAATTTGTATGGGCAAATTGGGTTCTTTGTAGCTTTACGTCAATCAATATAGTCGAAGCTTCCTGAGCACACTTAAAAGAAATAACCACCCACATTCACACGATGCACGACCTAATATCACTGTTGAAATCGTCAATAAACATTACAGACCCACTCTCCTGAGCACACTAAAAGAATAAACATCCACTCGACATATATGCACACTATGTATCACCGTCATCCTCAATAAGCAAAATGGTATAATAAATATAACCATTAACAGCATATCATGTAACCGACGAAGTCGCCTAATGTTCAACTTTTATTATAAAAAACACGTGATGTATTGAATTGTGAATACTGATTCAAAATATGTGGCCCTGCGTAACGCAAGTCCAGGGGAACTGGCAGTACTCTTTGTCAAATGCTAAGCCCAATGTTGATGGAGAGCTAACAGGTTTGCAATAGCAAGCAATGACCAGTGTTCTTCAGGGTCGGTGTGACAAAGGTGATGTCATTTTAAAGACTGCACATGGCCTAAGCCAACAGCAAGCAGCTGCCGTGTTCCCAAAGTCGATATTCCTTGTGTGTCAAACTCAGTTGTGTAGCCCCACAATGTGTAGGCTGGAGTGTCTGCCAATGGCTTTGTGAATTTACAAATTTTTATTCACTAGTATTTTAACAAAAGGTTGATTTAAAAAATAATATAAGAGTACTCGTTTTATTAGACTGGTCCCGCGTCCAAGCTTGCTCTGTTTGTGCTAGAAATGCCCTTTGGTGGTACAAACACTGGCCCAGCGAACCAGTCTACGTTTCGCTGCAAGAACGCTACGATCTGGTCGGTGCTAAAGAATACATGGATGTCGGGCAAGGTACAGCCAAATATCACCTCAAATCAGACATGATTTTAGTTAGCTCATCTGACATAGTCATGAATGCAGGCTTGTAGAATCGCTTGATCGTCCGTCCGCCGTAGCGCCGTAGCGTCCGTCCGTGGGTCACAAACAGTTGGGCAGCAAATCTAACGCGCTCGACGTAGCGGTCACGGATATTCGGCAACATCGGGGGGATCGTCAAACGAGTTGGGATGTCGAGCTGGGTCAAAGGTCAAAAGGTCAAAGAGGGTGTATAAGAAAAGGGGGAACATTCACTCTTAACTTAAGGTATAGGGGAAGGAAAAAATGCATAATGTGCGGCAGCAAATCTAAACCTATCGAACCTAGGCGCTCGTGTATAGTACGCGTGTAGTGAGCATCATGGGAGAAAAACCATCACTGGTGCCAAATATGGACGGTCACAGGTCCAAAGGGCAATGGGGGCACATGGGCCGATTTAGACACCTTTTCTGAGGACATGTGGGTCTGACGGAGCGATTGGAAAACTTATTTTGGTTCAGCGGCTGACGCTAGGCAGTTGTTATGGCTTTGATTGAAAGGACGGCATGAAATGTCCAGCTTCGCCTGACATGCGAAGAGTAAAGTGTCGGATAAAAACGGCTTGTTGACGCCTCAAGAGGAGGGTTAAACATGGATTTGTGACTGTTAACAAAGCGAAGTGAACATGCTTTTGCACTGATTAGAGCCCACTGCCGTTCACCCCCCTTTCCCCTCCCCCCACTATCAGCGCCCTCCCCCATCATAGTACCCCTTTCCCCAGCGACCATACCCGCCTACCCCCTCTCCCCTCCCCCTACCTCAGAGAGGGTTAAATCATGGATTGTTGACTGTCTGTTAGAAAGAATTTTCGACTTGGCCGAAGGTTTGCTAGTAGAATCTATACATGCCTGGATTATGAGGCTACAATGTCACAGTGAAATTTCAAAAAGCTAAATTTGGTTAAAGAGGTGTATATTCTTAAATCGTATGAATTTCTATGTCATATCTGTTACTGTCAGTAGTGTTACATTCACGCACGTATCGCCGAACTGCCGTAGTGCTGTGTGCCATCGTGTTGGGCAGTCTTTGCCTGCATTAAATTGTTACAGGTGGCGAGCGTCTCTTATGGCAGGATTGGCGAGCTGTATGGACTTGAGTAGGTAAGTGACTGAGTGCTATCCTAGATTCTGTCTTGGCGCAAATAGTTTGTTGCTACTGACGAATGATGGGACTCCATCTTTTAATCTGAAGACACTTTAAACGTACACGGCCATCTCGTGCAACTTTCATAACGAATCCCACGAACATCTTTTTGAGAAAGGTGATCCTGAATACGCTATCTCTGTGCATGTCCACTAAGTGTTCGCGTGTTATGTGAGGACACATTTGGGACATAGACAGGGTTTACATAGAACCCAGCAACTTCCACCACAGAGTGCAGCCGCAGTAAGAACGTTAGATGAGCAGCGCTGTCGCTATGGCGGCACTTGTTAGTGACGATGTCACATCAGGCCGATAAATTAAGAGCGGGGTCGTAGGGCGACGCTGAAGCCAGACTTTACAGGAACTGTGTAGTAGGGTCGTTCACGAGGTAGCGGCGTCTGGCCGGTGCTCGCAGTAATATACACACTCATAATGCACTAATATATTAAAAATGAATCTAATTGGTCTATCAATTTATAAATTCAGTTAATGCGAAAGATGTGGTTATGTACAATGTATTTGGGATCGCAGACACTTTAGCTCGGTTGATTTCTGACATTATGTATCTGCATCAATTAACTGGCTGTATCGCAGTGCCTCTCACTCTCCACGATAACCTCTGCGACATCAAGAACTTATCTCCTAAGCTATTATTTATGCGTTTATAAAAACACAGTCACTTGGCTACGCTAAGCTGAGAGGTCTATGTCCCCGTGGTACTGGCCGGAACGTACCCTGGGTACGGTCCGGTCTACCCGGAACGTAACCCTGGTACTATCAATATGCCGACCCCGTACCTCGCCTGACTCCTAACCTAACAGGTCCCTAGGGAGTCGCCTATGCCTACTCCCTAACCAACCCTAAACCCTAACCTCTAACCTAACCCTAATCCTAACGCCTAACGCATATCAAATAGTGACCAGGGTACCGTTCCGGTATACCGGATCGTACCCAGGGCCGTTTCAGCAGTACCATTCTGGGGACATAGGACGCTTATGAGCTACGCGAAGCATGCCGCAATCGATTTCCTTAGAGTGTCGGCGAGGATTTTCGTTCGTGTGCGATTCATGCTTGAGTGGAGTTCATGGCGCCCTCGCTCTAGATGTTTTCTGGATACCCCATAGAGCTAGGCGTTCAGGAACGGAGCGCATTATTAGAATACGCTCCCATTTACAAGTCTGTTTAAACTGCCATGGCGATAACCGTAGTATTTCAGCGTAATATGAGGGGAAAAAGTGCTGGTCAGGAGGACCGGCAGTTTCGTAGAGATGGTTGCCCGAGCAAAAACTTGGTGGCTTCGGGCCTCCGGGTCGGCACTAATTTCGAACGCTGGTCATATGCTTCCAGTCTGTTGAAAATAAATAAATAAATAAATTCAGCTTGAATCTCAAGAGTCAAATGCAACATCGACCGTACCTTTTAAACTAGCTTTAGTACTATAGCCCATGACTTGCTGCCACAAGGTTGAATTGACTTGTAGCATGTGGCCTAAGCCTATATTAATTATTACCATCTTTCTCTCTCTCTCTTTCTCTGTCTATTATACTCTATATATATTTATAGAGCAACTTTTAAACAAGCTTGAACATCGAAGCAGGGTCTCAAACGTCCGTTTTTAACAAATTACTAAATCTACGACCAAATAATGCGAAGGAAATTCTTAACCTACATCTAGAATACAGTAGGAAAATGCATTCCAAGACAGTGTTTACAAGCCACTTCTAAAAGCGTTCATCTGCCGAGATTTCACACGCCGATTCTGACCAAAATTGTGCATTATCACTCATAAAAATAATGTATTTCGTGGAACATAGTTCTTACCTTTGTATCAAATCTTCTTTGCAACCTCTTGTCGACGCTCCTCTTACATAAAGTTTACTTTTAGAGCGTGTACGGTAAGTTTGTCATATGTCGCCACAGTGTGTCCAGGGTGTGCATCCAGGTACGCGGATAATCTTGCACCGCTACAGATGTGCTGCCCTCCAGCGGCAACTGTTTCTAGCGGCTAATCCCATTGCATTGTGCATTCATTTTGTTGACCAGAAATTTTCATTGTGGACACAGCACATGTATGTATGTCATGGTTAATAGAATTGCGATCTTTTGCAGCATAACGAGGTTGAAGTATCCATGTGTCATTCTGTGAGGAACACATGACGCAGCCTGAAATGGAAGTTGACAAGCCAATTGGCTGTCATACAGCAGACAATGAACAGAGCGTGGTAAACGGCATGCGTGAGAGCGAGGGCAACGTCACGACTGCAGAAGCAGATGCAACTGATGGCGATGGCGATAGCGACATTCTCCACGGATGTGGCCAGAAATGTGCCACACCCAACAGCAGCACCAGCATCAATGCATCCGCCGTCAAGCATGAGTCGACCGATAGCAGCGCGGTGCTGACCACACCTGTCACGTCACCACCACTTCATGGCAACGGTGATGCCTGCGTGGACGCGGGCGCGGGCAACACCCTAGCTGAGGAAAATAATGAGGATGATAATGACAATGAGGCAGCGTTAAAAATCGATGAAGCAGTCAGTGCCGCGGTTAAATCGACAAGCCGGTCGGATGACAACATCCAGGACGACGACCTCGAGCTACTGGAAAATGAGGCGAGCCCGTCGAGCAAGAACAGCGATGACCTCAACGTGACTGCCAGCGATGACAACGAGGAGGTTGCTCTCAAGGGCAATGATACCGGTACTCCTGTACCGGTCGCTGTCAGGCAGAAAGGTAGGAAGAGTAGTGAGGGGCAGTGGTGTTATGAGGAGATGCCCGATCAGTGAGTGTGACTGCGATGGAGCTGTGACTTGTGTGAACATATATATCAGGTTACTGTAGAATGTTTGATACGGTATAGGCCCTGTATGTAATGCTTCAATGCAGGGAGTATATTCCACACCCCACACATAATGCCCTCGATCAATATGAAAACGTGATTACATGAATGAGGGAATGGGGATGTCGATTTAGCTTACATGACACCCGCACTACAATGTCGTGACACTTCTCATCAGTAAATTGGTACTAATTTACTTATCCAAGCGTATGATTTGTATACATTATATTACACATATTAAATGCACCATTTGTTATCATTATCTGACATGATTTCCTATCGTAGAGACCAACAAGGTGATCTATGGACAGATGAGATCTATATCACTGGTCGTCAGATATGTTAGAACATTTCCATATATATGTAGTATTAAAGTAGTTAGGCATTTGTACCTTAAATACTTACTATGCATTATTACATGACCATACATAATGACTAAATTACAGAACTCCTGAGCACACTTAAAAGAATAACCACCCACTTCACATATGCACGACTAATATCACTGTGAATCTCAATAAACATTACAGAACTCCTGAGCACACTTAAAAGAATAAACATCCACTTCACATATATGCACCACTATTATCACCGTGCATCTCAATAACAAAATGGTATATAAACATAACCATTAACAGCATACATGTAACCGAGTCGCCTAATGTTCAACTTTATTATAAAAAACACGTGATGGATTAATTGTGAACATGATTCAAAATATGTGGCCCTGCGTAACGACAATCCAGGGACTGCAGTACTTTGTCCAAATGGCTAGCCCAATGTGATGGGAGAGCTAACAGGTTTCGCATAGCAGCAATGACCAGTGTCTTCAGGGTCGGTGGTGACAAAGGTGATGTCATTTAAAGATGGCACATGGCTAAGCAACACAAGCAGCTGCTCGTGTTCCCAGTCGATATTCCTTGTGTGTCAAACTCAGTTGTGTAGCCACATGTGTAAGTGTCTGTCCAATGGCTTTGTGAATTTAAAATTTTATTCACAGTATTTACAAAAAGGTTTGATTTAAAAATATAAAGAGTACTCGTTTTATGTAGACTGGTCCCGGCGTCAAGCTTGCTCTGTTTGTGCTAGAGAACTGCTTGTGGTGGTACAAACACTGGGCCCGCGAACCAGTCTACGTTTCCTGCAGAACGCTACGATCTGGTCGGTGCTATAAATACTGATCGGCAATGTACAGCCCAAAATCACCTCAAATCGACATGAGTTTTATTACG